GCCATCAATCAGAGCTGAGTCAGCCAGTGTGACTGGTGTGTCTTTGTTTTATTTTTTTTTTTTTTAGCAATCACATGTTCTTTAGCCTTGTTTGCCAGCAGTGAGCTGGGTTTTTGTTTTTTTTGTTTTTTTTTTTTTTTTAATGAAAATGGGACTTGACTGGGAGCAGGGAAATGTTCCCGCTGTCAAGTATAACCTTTAAAGCCGCCCTGCCTTGAGGAACGTCTCCTCTCTGCGATGCTACAAAATGCATCATGTGGAAGAAAAATAAAGGATGCTGCCTGGGATGGCATTGGCCATGAACCCCCTCCCTGGCACCGCTCTCCCGCGCGGATGGCACGACACAACCCCATCGTGTCCCCTGCATGTAGGCCAAGGGGAAAAGTCTTTTCAGAGGGGCTGTTTTCTTGCAGAGCAGCCTTGAAACCCCTGCCCGCAGCCACGCTCCGGGAGGCAAAGCCTTCCCACTGCGCTCCCCTCGCAAGGACAAGGTGATGGCGGCTTAAAAACAGCCCCTGCTCACCCGGGGAAGGCAGGGGAGCAGCTCTGCTGTTGTGGCTACGCATAATCTCAGCCCGCCGCGGCCACCGGTGTTATCGAAGCCCCCGCATCCTTGCGGGACACGCTCCAAGGTTATGCACCCTGCCCTGTAATAAGGCAAGAGGGTTTCATCTCTGCTTGGGTCAAGGAGAGAGCCAGATTGCTGGAGGTTAAGAAAGAAACAATAATTTTTAAAAAATTAAAATCTGGCTTCTAGCTTTCCCAGAAACAGCATGGGTCCTCCCTGCCCATAGGATGCTTGCAGGGTTGAGCATGGCCCTAAAGGCTCGCAAGTCTGCATGCATCCCTAGAAAAATGTAGGTGCAGGTATCTCAATCAAGCTGAAAATCATAGACCCCCTCCCTCCCTGGTTGCACAGAGCAACCAGGAGCAGGGAGAAGGCAGACAGCCCCAGCCCAGAGCAAGGCTCAACCTGCTCCAAAAGCCCAGAGCAAGGGCTGCACATCAGCTGGCAGCAGCTGACCACAGAGCTGAGCTTGAATACACGGCGGTCCACGCCGTTTTTGCCCTTCTGCTCCTAACAGGCTTTCAGAGACACAACTGCTCGAGGGGGATGAGTTTCCAACCACATGGGGAGCATAAACCCAAGCTGTGCTCCAAAGCATCTCCTCCAAATCACACTTTTCCCTGCCTCCCCCCCTCTTTTTCTCTGGAGCCGGAGGGGAGGGAGGGAAGGAAAGGAAGGAAGAAAGGAGAAAAAAAAAAAGGAACGACCAGCTTCGAAGGGAATTTCACAACTTTGCTTGTAGGTGGCATCTGCTGTTTTCCTGCCTTCAGGGCAAAGACAGCCGTGATCTCAGAGGACAGCTCTTGTCCAGCCCTTCAGCTTCATTTAGCATCTTTTTAAGCAGGTTATCTGATTTCAGCTGTAATTTTGGTTGAATATATTCAAATAGGTTTGAATAAATGCCTAGCCCTGCCTAACTCGCAGCCTAGATGAAGATCCAGGCAGGACATACTCCAACACATCAGCTTTATACTCAACAGCGGTGTGGTGGGTAGAGATTGGGGGGTATTCGCTTGCCCTAAGTAGGTGTCAGCACTTCGCTGGAGGAATCACATCCCCAGCTTCACTGGTGAGCTCCTCAAAATTGCTGTAACACGGTCAGGAAAAAAAAAAGGATCACGCCATGGGATCTAAATGGTTTCCCTTGGAGATGATCCTCAGAAAACCCACCATGGGATCAGGAGGCATTTATGAGGCACAGGAACATGTGGGCGAGGCAGGACCGTGTGGCATGTTGTCACCCTTGGGGCCACCAAAACCGCAGGTGAGATAGCCCTCCGAGCGTAATTCCCAGTGTAAGGAAGAACCAGGTCAAGTCTGTATTTCAACAAGATATTTTATTGGTCCAGCAACTGCAAAATATACAAATTTCTGAAAGGCATACCCTGTTTTTAAGCTGGCACAGCTTTAGATCAGGCAATTATTCCAGACGTATACACAGAACAGTTAACATATCACAAATCCAAAAAAAAAAAAAAAAGAAATCCCAGGTAACTACCCCTTCTCTCCAAGCTTTGCAGTATACATTAAAT